GTATGATGATCACTTCTTTGGGGTCTTCCTCCCTTCATAAGAGATAGATGACACATCCTCTCTTTTCTTCTTCAACAAGCCCGAAGATCCAGGCGAGGCAGCAACACGGGCAATCTTCCCGGTTCTCAATCCATCCTCGATAGTTTCACCTACCTTGACTATCTCAATAAATTTTGCTCCGACGAGCAACATAATTCTGTCAGAATATTCGGGCTCCTGCACCCGCACAAACACTTCAACAATTTCCTTTTCTGACATAAGAGGTCTAACTCTAGCTGCCTCATTTCGCCATCTATATGCAAATTCTCTGTAACTCTCGGTCGGCTTCTGCTTCATCTTCTCCAAGGAGTAACCATCAGGAACGATCTCCACATTGTAGGCGAATCGTTCGATGAAGTTCTTAGTCAGAGCATTCCAGCTAGACCATTGTTTCGTTTCATGAGACGTAAACCATTCTAGAGCCTCTCCGCTCAAACTTCGGCTAAAAAGCCGCATTAACAAAGCTTCGTCTCTCCCAACTCCCACGAGTTGGTCACAGTAGGCCCTTAGGTGTGCTAAGGGGTTCCTTGTTCCTCCAAAGATGTCGAATTTTGGCACCTTGAACCCTTCCGGGAGGTCCAAATTCGGATGAATGCATAGGTTTTCGTAACTCAACCCGGCAACCTCAGGAATGCAATTCAACTCCTTCATGGCTTTTCTAATTTCCTCCTTCATAGCTATCTTGGCGGTCTCTTCCTTTGACCTCCACTCTCTCTCCCTCTCCTCATAGTGGTCGAGCTCCGAACCATGGGCATCATGCTCGTTGGGGACTGGTATTTGGAAAATGGGTTTTTGCGGTAGTGGTGGGGCGATAGAGGGACTCTGGCCATTTAAAGGGGCGTGATAGTTTTGGGGATAAGTCTGGGGGTTGGTGTACAGGTTTTGGTGAGGGAGGGAAGTGCGTGGGTTGTTAGCGTTTTGACTGTGGGGGGTAGGCCAGTTTGGTGGTTTGCATTAGGGGGAGGGAGTGGTGCTTAGAGATTGGTGTTTTGAGGAGGGCGTGGTGTTTGGTAAGAGGTTGAGGCGTAGTGGGGGTTTTGGGTGGTAAGGTCAATGATGGAGGGATTACGAGCAAGGCTTGAAGACGGGTTTTGAGCCTGCTCCACGTTAGAAGGGGGAATTTGAGTTGGAGGTCTTTCGTCTGGTTGAGTGTTGAAAGCAAAAATCAGAGGAGGCGAATCTTGTCTTTTCTGCATCTCGACCCTCATCTCAGCAATTTGTTGCATCAACTGCAGGATCAGTTCATTCTGATCAGCAAGGGCGAGCTGAGCCACCACGACATCAGTAAGGCCAGGTTCTTCGTTGTTATCACTCATTGATGTTTTTCCCTTTTGTGAATTTTGGCTGGGAAAGGAATCTGTAGGCCCTTTTGATCTGGTAAAATAGAGATGATCGGCCAGTGTATCAACACAGATCAATTCTAACTACCTGTAGGGAAAACAACTCAAAGGGAAATCTGTTAGTATTAGTCCTGGATGAATAATGCAAGATATCACATAGAAAATAGATAAACACATAAAAGTTGTTTTGTCTGAGAAAATGTCAACCCACGAATAATATGGACTGACTTTTGAACAAGCAGGAATTTGCTCGTTTTTATGTTGAGGTTGGTGACCCAGAAAGGATAAATTGCGTTGAGCTAAGGTCTTCTTGCTGCATCTTCTGGCATCTGTTGATCTGAACTCAATGTTTCCTTGTAGAATGAAAGAGGGGTAAAGAAAATTTGAAAAAGATAGGGGCCGAGCCTCGAAAGGCTGCCTACATATCTCCCAAGGAGAATTCAGGCCCTACGTAGTTCTAATACAAAGGAAATTTTCATTTTCATTCATTCATTTCTGGTGATTACAAGGAAAGTGAAAAACAGATAATAAAGCTCCTAAGAGATAGATGGTGCCTTCACCGAAGCTTCTTCCTCTGACTGCTGTATTAGCCACGGGGGGTAAGCTCATATGTTTCGGGGCGGTTTCCTCATTCTCTTCTTTCCACCGTCCCTTGAAAGGAGGTCTATAAACAATTTCCTCTTCAACAGATTCAGGTCCAGTGCCTTCAAGACCACTGTTGGTGGCCTCTTGGTTGAAGAAAGGGCGTTTTCCATGTAGTTTCTGAAGTCTCATGGTTATATCATTGTTCAAGGCGTCATGTTCCTTCCGCATAGCAACCGTCTCCTCGTTCATGACAGCATATCTTGCCATCTTAGTCGTTAACTCCGCGTCCAGTGTTGCACTTTTGGCTTGCGCAGCTGCGGTGGCTAATTCTACTTCTATTCTTCTTTCTCCCATCTCTCGAATCTCTTGTTTGAGTCGACGCAGTTTCATCCTTAGACTCTCCTCAGTCGTTTTCACTTCGACATTTTTGCCCTTTTCCATCTTAGCAACAATTTCACCTTTCCTGAGATGATAGAGTAACATTTTAGGATTTGGTAGTAGGATTTTATTTCTGGCTGAGAGACTCAAGACTCGTGGAATTTTGGTCGGACATTTTGGTAATGACTTGTATTTGGTATTCTCAGAAAATTTTGACAAGGAGTGAACTAAAATGTCCTCATTCAAAGCAACGTATCACATAAACAGTTAAAGCACACAAGTAAACAGACAAATATCGCGTTCTAAACATGCATGTGACCCTTTTGTGCCAAGGGTAGGCCTAGCGAATTGAAGGATATATATGTCTTTTTAAGCCAATTCATTATCCCCAAAATACTTCATTAATATCATTCAAAAATGTTTAATAAACATAAAATTAGGGAAATGAGTTCGAAAAGTAAATTACAAAACAAAGTACAAATAAAGCAATCCCACGCAGGGGATGATAACAAACTCTAAGCTCATCCTGATCCTTCACCAAGTCTGGTCCTCTTGGCGATGCCGACCTCTTCCCACATAGCGTATCTATTCGCCCATAAGTGATCTCTAGCCAATCGAGCCCCTTCTTGATGTCTGAACCTTTCGGCCGACTGAATCTGTTGCTCCATGCTATCATCTAGTTATGACATGCATTGTCTGGCTCTTCGTAACTCTTGCTTCAATTGAGCTATGACTTTGGCGTCCTCCGAATGTCGGCGTTGATGGTCCAACTCATTCCTATCAAACTTCTCTTGGAGTTGATGAAGTCGAATTTGATGCTTGGCTCCAACATCTGCAATAATATGGGGAACGTTTGGACCAGGTTCGATAGTTCCGGCGAGACTCTTCTTTAACCATTCTTTGTAATCCTTAGAGCATTCCGGACGAAACCTATTTGGCACCGGCTCACCCAATACCCTTCGAGTCTTCCATAATTGAAACATCTTTTTAGTAAAAGCGAATTCGCCATTTTCATGATCCGTCACAAATCTTGTCATAACTTCGATCTGAGGAAGCTCTTGTTTCCCTCCTAGCTGTCTAAGTACTCGAGAAGAGCGTATGACCGAGTTCCTCTCAACCCAGCAAATATCAAGTAGGGGGCCTTTCCGCTTCGGAATCACAATTTGTTTTGTTACTACCAATCATTTGATCGACCATTGTACATTTTTCTCTCTCAAACCCTGAAGTCTCGGGTGCCAAAACTCTTGGCCTCCAGTCCTGTTGAAATGATTACGTTGCACCCACCAATCGTGACTTTCGAGCCTGTTCGGTCTTTCCAAGGGATCTGGTTCTGTTGGATCATGAGCTTTGATCAAGTGTCTCATCATCCACCATTGAAGTATCAGGTTGCACCCTTGAGAGAAACGTGTGTCATTTTTACCCTATCCAACGCCCTGTAATGTCAGCAAGGATCATAGGAGCCAAATTGTAGTACTATTTTATAGGCCCATAGTCTTACTCCATTAAAAAATAGCATGAAATACCATTACTACACTTGATGGATGGTGTAGTTTGGTCCTTGGGGAAATACCATTGTCCCAAGTAGACATATCGCAAAAGCGAGAGTGGCGTGTTTCCTTCCATTTTTCTTTCCGAAACGAACTCATCTTTAAACTTCTCGTAAGCTCTTGCGCGTCAAAATCGATAATACAACTTCGAAGTGGAATATTTGACCCGGGCAGCCTGTCCATCCATTCAGCTTTGACGAGTGACAATTTTTCTTTGATTTCGGCAAAATCCATACTTTTGGAAAGAGAAGATCAGTATCGGGTTGGTGTTTCCTCTTGTTGCACATGCAACACTCTCGTAACTGGCAAGAACTTCATCTATAGTCGGAGTCAACTCTACTTCCCAAACGAAATACCATGTTGTTGCTGTCCCAAAAATTTCACCATTGTTCCAATCAAGTCGGGGTAAGCCACCATTTCCATTAATGAGGAAGATAGCCTATGTGTCTTTGCACTTTCT